GGGTCCAGTTGTGATAGACACGGTTCGCCACTGGGCAAACACAGTAGAAGTCTTTCCTGGTTCATGCATCTACTATAGGAAAAAGTATAGCTTTAAATCCTTCGTATTCCTCTTCTAGTTTGTTGCGGGGAAAGCAGAAGCTGATTTTTGGGCGTTTGCTCATTAAAAGACTCTGCCCTGGTCTGCAACAAGGTCCTGACATTCTGAGATCATAATGACTTTAGATTCTGGTGGTGTGTGGTGGTGTGTGATATTGACTCGACTTAGGTTGCTCTAATAACTTTCTCCGACCCCTCATTTTGTCCAATACCTCTGAAACTCAGTGCTATGGCAGAATATGACTGGCTTACTGTTGAAAGTGTGGAAAGAGTCTGCCTTCTCAAACCCTCCGTCTCCGCATCAGATAAATATACTCCCTCTTAAAGTTAATTTACAGCTCCTGTCCTTCAACCTGTCAGACTGGGTACATTTTTTAATCTTAGGAGGGGGGGGGGGAGTGCTCCGGTGTGATATTAAAATCTGATTGGTTCCTCTCATGCAGTATTCCTTAGAGGTAACAGAGAACCTAATCGAATGTTCCAGCAATTGTGATCCAAAATAGTAATGATTGTGGTATTTTTTGTCAACATTCTAACTTGATCAAAGAACCCTAAATATTGACCGTTAAATAGTATGAAAAACAAACTATATTTAAATGACTCCAGTTCAAAATCCCTTTTATAAGAAGAACATAAGTGAATGGCCATGGGTTACCTGAGTTCACCTCACAGGGATGTTAGAGTATGTCTAACACAATAGGACAGGAACCACTGATGTATTGGATGCCATGTGTTGACTATATTGCCTAACATAGTCATCAATGCAGGCAATTTGTATCAGTCCTTGAAGCACTGAGATGTAAGATTGCTGCGGCAACAACTCTAATCTATCTGAGATTAGATTTGTTGTGTTCAATTTTGTGCTGCGACGTTGTGGGAATAAGGTAGGTTATTTTGTAAAATGTCCTTTTGATTTGTAAATGAAGTGCTTTAAAATCAAATGAGTTTTTCCTGATTGAGTTCATTCTTGAGGGACATGCAATGTGTTCTGCGTTCAGAGTCTTCAAATATTTGAAATGTTCCCAGCTGTCTAAGTTTACTTAAATATCTTCCCAAACTCAACTCAAGAGTTTGGAGAAATATCCATCTGCTCTGCCTGCCAACATTTCTCTCTTTTATATCTCTCGTCACTTCTGTTTTCCTCCCATAACAGCTGTCTTTCTTCTAGCTTAGCGCTGACTGTTTTCTTTGATTCCCACAGGATTTGTCACTGTGAAGGTGACGAGGAGAGTCCTCTGATCACACCATGCCACTGCACGGGGAGCCTGCGCTTCGTCCACCAGTCCTGCCTGCAGCAGTGGATAAAGAGCTCCGACACGCGCTGCTGTGAGCTCTGTAAATATGAGTTCATCATGGAGACCAAGCTCAAACCGCTGCGCAAGGTAACATAGATTTTTGTCTACAGTCAATCATTACACGTTCATTATTTTAATAATAATAATAATAATTCCTTACATTTATTATAGCGCTTTTCCAGATGCTCAAAGCGCTTTACACATTACACATATCATACATGCAATATCTTTTTTATTTATTTTTTTTATTTTACTATACTTACTTGTTTGCCTGTCCTTGTTTGTCTACCCTCCCTCATACTGTAAAGCGTCTTTGAGTTGTGAAAAGCGCTATATAAATCAAATGCATTGTTATATTATTATTATTGCTATCCTGGCTCCAAAATGGTGGAATGAGCTCCCCATTGGCATCAGGACAGCAGAAAGCTTACACATCTTCCGGCGCAGACTGAAAACTCATCTCTTTCGACTCCACTTCGAGCGATAGAACTA